AGTTCAATGGAGCTTTATCTTGAATAAAATAGAAGTATTCATTAATTTCATTTCATAAGAATTTATTGGGTAGCTACCATAGTAGATACTACTTTTGGCCCTGGAGAAATAGTAGTAAATAAGATCCAATAGTCTTTGTTCCCACTGGGGGAGGCAATTACAAAACAATTAGACAAGTGAATATTAAATGCAAGATAGTTACGGGTTCTGTGAAGAAAATAAAGCAGAAAGAGTCATAGACAATACTAATTTAGGAAGGGTGGTTGGGAAGCTCTCCTTGAGGAAGCACATTTTAGCACATTTCAGCTGATGCTCCCGGCAAAGGAAATGATAGGTGCAAAAGTCTAGGGCAGGATCAGGTTCACCTTGTTCTAATAGCAGGGGCACCAGTGTGGTTAGAGAAAAGTTCAGTTGTCCCTTGGAGGAGCACTCAGGACTGCTAGGCCATGGCAAGCAAAAAAATAAATTACAAAAGTATTATAAAAATATTCTTATTTTATATTCTGGATATAATTGACATATTAAGTTAATTCTTAGAAAGAATGGTGATTAAATCTTGTCCATTACTGGAGTTATAAATAATTTTTTAGAAAAAATTAATAACTCAAAATGATAAACTTCACCTTACCTGTGATAATCATTGCATAACTGTAAAAAGGTAACATTTGCAAAATTAATTAAGCGTTTCATAAATTTTTCCAAAGACCACTCTTCATTCTTTTATATTTGATGCATCCCTTTCTGAATTGATATGTCACCAGCTTTGTCAATTTTTTTTACTCTTTGGTTGCTACCACCAAAACCTTCCTTGTAATTAGTTTTGAATGTGATTCAAGCTGTTCACAAATATCATTTTCAATGACTTCATGTGGTTCCAAATCTTTGTAAAAATTGAAATTTCACTTAGTAATCAATTTACATGGTATCTACATTTTATTTTCAGATGAGTCAGAGAGAGATTGGCAGACAAAAAGGTGGACTTGACATACACTAGCTAGCATTAATTAGGGAAGAATGTTTGAATGAAGACCAACAGAATAAACAGTCTGTTCCCAGTATATGTGTGTGTGTGTGTGTGTGTGTGTGTGTGTGTGTGTGTGTTGGTATCAAGACTTTGCTTCGGTGGGCACCTTTGACTTCTCAAGAGTTTAAATATTGACTACTCAGATAATGAGGCCCCTTTTGTTAGGGTGTCAGGTATTGGGGTTGGCAGAGGAAAATATTAGAGGACAGGGAGTCAAGGAGAGTTTCGATTTTTTTTTAAATGGAAAATTATTGTTTCAGACAAGAGTCCTCTTTTTCACAGGGAGGCCTGGTCATTCCCGAGGGTACTGGCAGGAAGCTACAAGTCACTATGTCCAGGCCAATAGAGCAGGCCTCTGTTGACTTCCTGTCATTGTGAAGGTTCTGGCTCCTTGCCCCAGCATCTTGCAGAAAGTGATTTCTCAGAATTGTCTGTTCCTCCAGGGATGTGCAAGTATTTTAAATTGAAGAGTCATAAAGTGAGCATAAAGCCATTCTGAGTAAGCTCATTTAATAAAGTTTTAAGTTTTATGACTCTTAAAAATTAAAAAAAAAGAAAAAAAAAGCTATGGAAGGACTGTGACATCACAGGAAATAAAAAGAAAATAGCATCTATAAGTCTACTACCGAAGTACAGCAGGTTTTTTCATCTTCTCAAACTTTGTTTATATACTATTTGTTGTACTAATGACAATGAGAATAATGATGATGAAGCTAGCATTAATCAGCTGTTATTTTTTTCATTTCCAAGAATGCCATAAGCTTTGTAAGAACCTACAAGTAGGCAATTATCATCTCTGTTTTACAGATCAGAAGATTGAGGCACATAGTGGTTTTCAAATTTAAGCTCCTGTTGTACTCAACTCAAGTTGCTAGTGTTTAGAGCTCTAGCAACTTTGGAATTTCTTTTTTGATCACTAGCCTATTGTTATACATTTTGCATATGGCTAGGTGAATACACAGAAATTTAAAATTTTCCAATTATAATAAACTATTTCTATTAAATCTGAAATTCAGTTATGGGTTTTGTTTGTTTGGGTTTTTGTTGTTGTTTTTGTACCAGAATTGAACTCAGGGACACTTAATGACTGAGCCACGTCTTCAGCCCTTTTTATTTTATTTTTTTACTTTGAGACAGTCTCACTAATTTGCCAAGGCTGACTTTGAACTTGTAATCCTCCTGCCTCAGCCCCTCAAGCTGCTGGGATTATAGGTGTGTGTCACCACACCTGGCTAGATGTCGGTTTTATGAGCACTGACAGAAAAATTAAAACGTCGAAAATTTTGGCATGTGAGTTAATCGTATTCAAAACTGGCATCTCTATTTTTCCTGTATTCACTTATCTTGTCTAAAATAAGTTTGTACATGTAATACCTATACTATGTATTTTACACATATATACATGTATATGATATATATCTACACTCGAAACTTTATAATAACAGGGACTATGTCTGTCTTGTTCATTACTATGGAATAGAGATAAACATATAGCATTGTTTGTTATTCATTAATTTTTCCCCCCTGCTATATGCAGGAACTGTTTTCTCAAAGTTCTCAGTTATATATGATGTTAACTGGTATGTTTAAGCAAAATATTATTTTACTTTTCAATGAATTTGAGAAGCACCGGTTTAAAATAGATGAAATGCTTTTCTTTTCTGCCAAGTCTCCTTTGTGAATTTATAACATGTCTCCTTTCAAAAACTTATTTTTGACCATGTAACTTAAAAAAAAAAAAGAAACCTGAACCATTTGGGAGACTAGAATGCCATTGCCACTTTGGGAAATACTAGTCCAGAACTTACTTCTTCACAAATTTCTATATTAATTTTTCTGCTTCTCCTTTTGAACACTCCAAACTGCTATTTAGATAAGCGAAGGGTCTCAAAAATAACCGTATGCTGTGTGATATTCATTAGTACTGTCCTATGTTGAGTAGTACAAATCTTTTTTTTTTAATGCATTTGAAAAGACATTATAAAGACAGTTTTAAAACTGACTTAAGATAAAACCAAATATAAGAATTGGGTGAGTAGTAGAAATTAAAATGGTTTCTTACAAACTGCCAAATGACAGGATATTCTGGGACACTTTTAGTTTTTAACCATAATATACTATACCAACCAATTGTTTTCATCGTATATGAGTAGTACTTAAAACTTAATTTTGGTTCCTTCTATTCATGAATTTCTGAGAATTCTCATTTCTTTTTTGTGGTCTTTATTTAACACTTGACTTTATGGAATACATTTGTTATTTCATTTCATTTCCAAAATGTCTCCATTATTTTATATACTTGTCCAAGTCCTGGTTCAAAGTTCAAAGCATTACACTTTTCCATCCCAAATGGATTACGAGGATCCTTTACATGAGAAAAGTATGCTCCTTCTTCATACAGGAACAGCTGGAAGCAGTATGACAGCTAATGAGTAAAAGGGCTTTCTGGAAACTGACAACTTCTTGAATCTGTGGAAACAAGAAGGCTGGAATAAGACTTACATTCATCAGTTTCAATAAGTAGAACAGACCTCAATTTGTGATGAATTCAGTGAAGAGACTGTATCTGTCACTCTTGAACCTAGCTCATCTAAGTAAACCACTGTAGGTAGTTTAAGAACAAATATGCACAATATACTTATACATTCAGGGGAATGTATTCTAATTTAATCCGTAGAATGCAAGTTAAAAAAAAAAACACACTAGGCTTTTATGCAATCGATTTAAAGAATATTTGGAGAAAAGGAAGATTGCAAAAAAACTATTTAAACCTGATTTTCTTTAAAAAATTAATTTTGATTTTTTTCAAAGTATAAACTTTTAAAAGTTACAAACAGACTCTTACAAAAATATAGGCATGCACCAGAGATCTACTCATATATCAATGAGGAAAGCCCTAGTATGGTGAAGCTGCTTCCAAAACCATTTTGAGGATCTGAATATTTGTAGGCATTTATAATGAATGTTAGTTTAGTTAGATGCAAAATTGCTTAAATCCTGCAGTGCAATAAAACATTAAACGTTGACATTATCTTTTTTTTTTTGGTGGATAGGCTCAACAAAATGTGCAAGTTAACATGTGACTTCACCTGGGATATAATTAGTAACTAGTTGCAAAATCAAAAACAAGTGTTTTCCTAGAGAATCAACTAGTCCCAGGCTGGACTTGTTAAACAATGTCTTGGTGTAACAATGGAAGTCATGTTCCTTATTTCCAAGTTTTGGGTAATTTTTCCTAATTAAAAAAAAAAAATGTTTAAATCTGAGTTTTTCTTGTTGCTATTGTAATTGAACTCATTAGGTTGGATATTTGGACTAAAAATCACCATCTCAACTGCTTTCAGTAGTGAAGATAATAAAAAAGAGGGATGAGGATCTTTTTATTTTAAAATTCAAATAAGCATCTATCACGTGTGAGTGTTTCATTCCATATCAAGGTCAACATGGGAGGAGAAATGAACAATGGAAAGAAGGCAGAACAAATACCCCCATGGGCTGAAGCAAGTGGGAACTGTCTTCCCTTCCCCCAACAGGGTTGCTTTTATTCAAGGGAACAGCCTTTGTGGAATCGGTATCTCCAGCCTTTTGTATAGGTGCTAGGCCGAGGAGCTTAGGCAGGCACAGCAAGCCCCACCCCTTGCACCGTGTCCTAGTCACTAGCTAATGCCTGGAATAAATTCGCCACTCGCCCTGCGTGGGCTCATTCACAGCTTTGTCGTCCAGGGCTGGGCGCTTCCTCTTTGGGACTGAAATAACAGAGCACAGACAGCTCGGGCGTGATGCCGGGAGCTCTCCTTCCTAGGCTCTTCTTTTTCCTAGGCAATAAAAATCAACTCGTAATAAAAATAAAACAAAACCTGCCAGCAGTGTCTCTCTCCCCCTTCCCGTTCCCTCCCGGCTTTTTCTGAACGATGGGTGAATCTTTGCAAGCCTCCATCCCTGGAGGGTGGGGTGGGGGTGGGGGAGGTAGCTCAGTAAAACTGGTAGGAGACGTCTGGAAGAAAGCGAGTCTCCCGGGTATTTCAGCACCTAGGCACAAACAGTGGGGCAGTCGACTGACAGCCCCCCGATTGGTGGGTCTGGAAAGCAGTGAATTCAACGAGGCGCCGAGCCTGGCTAGGTTGGGGTCGTGGGGGTAACTCTCCAGGTGCTCTTTGCTGGATCTTGGGGTCTGGGCCACCGGCGCGCCCCGCCCGGCTCTGTCCCCGCAGCCTCGCCGGCTGCCAGGCTTTGTGGTTCGCTCGTGCGGCTGGGCCCCTGCTGGGGGTGTCGTTACGAGCATGTGCAGACAGCAGCCCAAGGTAGAGCGAGCGTGCCGGGCAAGCCCTGAGACTTGCCTTGCAATGCCATGTTTGTGTATGTGCTCTAACTCCCGGAGAGCAATCAGGGAGACGGCTCCCCCGCCGGACTTGGCTCATGTTTTCTTGTTTCTGTTTCAGCCTTCAGGATAATTCCTTCAGCAGCACCGCTGTAACAGAGTAAGTGATTCTTACCATTAAAAATTAGACTTGCATGCCTTTCTCTGGAAGCAACTATCATGAAGGTATTCACCGTCCCCTACCCCTCTTCGTATTAGATGCATTGTCTCCTGTAATCTGGGACTGCGAAGATCGCCAGACATGCTGACTGATGGGGCCCAGAAATCTTTACAGGTTGAAATCAGCATTTTAGCAGCTGCAGAGAGATATTAAAACCAGCTGGTTGCTTGCAGAAGCTCCATGCTCCAAGATGAGTTCTTGGAGCTCGAATTTTTAAAAAATCTATCTGACATGTCAGAAAGGGAGCTTGGTTGTATTTTGCCAACATTAGTGTCAGTTTCATGCAGTACAAGCTGTGTACATGTACCACAAATAGGAGATGGATGCGAAATGACTTTGAGTTTAATTTCCAGCATGGGATAAACAAACTAAACTTACTCTTGTTCTCTCCTGTCTACAGATTTTTAAGACACAGTGGAGTAAACTTTTCTTGCATGCTCTTTGTCGTTTTTGTCTTCTGACCTCAGAGATGTGGCTATAGGAGAAATGAGTTATCTGGTCCTACAGTGAAAGCTGTTGACTAGGGCAACTAACACTATTTAAACATGGGATGAAGGAGTACAGTGTTTTACTCAAGTCCAGCAGGCACAGTATTTTTTTATTAGATATTTATAGTTAATCGTTTTAAGTCTTGTCATCCCTTCCTTAATGTTTGCCCAATATTATACTCTACATGTAAAAAATTAATAGGTAGCTTATTTTGCTAATACTGTATGTAATTTATATAGACATATGTGTACAAACTATATATATGCACATCATTTTGCAATATTTCCCTAGGCTAATTTATGTTGTTAACTTCTGGGACCTTTTGTTAGAAGTGGCTCCTAACAGCTTTTTAGGAACAAGACAAGCATAAAGTTGTATTCTTAAATGTCATTTAAAAATATTTTAGAAGTTTGACACAGAAACCCCACTTAACTTGGGTGATGTTTACCGAAGTTTTCAAAAAAGCAAATAAATGTAGAAATGAACATCATTTGAGTTTCAGGTCCCACCACTATCACAGTGACATGGTGATAGAGAGGTAAGATTCTACAGTACTTCCTATGCCCTCTATTTCCATTATTATTATTATTATTATTATTATTATTATTATTATTATTACTACTACTACTACTACTACTACTACATAATTTCTCTGTATTTGGATTGCGATTATCTTAGTGTCCAGCTTTGAGCTCACTTAAGTAGTCACTTTAGGGGGAAAAAAGAAGTCAGGGTTGACTTTAGAAGATGCTCCTGTTAATGAGATTTCTTAGTAACCTGTGCTCCACTTTACTTTTCTAAAAGCATAGATAAAAGGAGAGATGTATGACAAAATTTGCAGGGTGAAGATGAGCTCTCGACATTCTGGTTCAGGTGCACAGGTACTGCTCTCCTCCCTTTGCTGTGCTTCTAAGCACCAAGAGCTTTTCAGAACCTGATTCTCAGGATGTCTGTGTGACTAAATCCCTGGAAACAGTCACAGGCCTAACAACTTCAAAATGGAAACTCTTAGTTCCATATTTCACATGCTTTTTTCTTCTTCTTCTTCTTCTAAATTTTGGTAAAGGTTCTATGGTTAAATGCTGGAGAGAGTGTGGTGCCTTGTCTTTGGATACTCCCCAAGGAGTACTGATTGCATAAGATCATGTTGTTACTTTCAGAGAAGTGAGAATGATTTATTTTAAAAGGCTCTGAGTGATAATTGGGAAGCCATCTGGCTAATATAAGAATCTAAGAAACATATTTGGAAACATACCAAAAGCTTCATAGGTATAGCACAGCACAGACTAGGGTCATTTAAAACTAGTCATTGTCCAACATAACTCCCGCCACCTGCCTCAATAATCTGAACCATGTTCCTTCTTTCTCTGGGAATGCTCCCTTAGCCAGAAGGACTAGGAGGCACTATCCTGAGACACAGACATAGCAGGTGCTCAGTGAATGTTCCCTTGAGATCTTGCATTGGGGAGGCACTTTCCTCCCTTATATGTTTCAGAGACAAGAAAAGTTGCTCTTCCTCCTGTCCCCATTCTGTTCCTACTTTCTTCTTACTCAAACCCCCTGAAATTGTACCTGGAGATGATTTCTTTGAGATTAAGGATTCTAGTCATGAATGGAAATATAAGTCTATGCTCCTGGAAGGTGGATTCAAGTTGTCATTAAAATTTTAATATGAGTTATTTTATCAGATATTCTGAAAGGGTTCCACTTGGCCAGTTGGAGATCTCATTAAAGTCAAACAGAAGCGGAATTAGGAAGGACACAAGGACAGATTTTTTTCTCTTCTTGTTTTTTCCTAGTCCTAGCATTGTCTATGTGGCTCTGAACCAATTTCAATTTCTTTTTTTTGTCCAGCTTCTTTTAATATCAGAATGGCCTTGGCCTTTTCTTCTGTATCTGCAGCATCTTTCTGTCTATTATTTTTCCATGGTCAATTTCCTATGTTGTCCTGGCTAACTATGTATTTGAAATGAAGCCTGGCCTGGCTTGCAATTATTCTGACTGGTTATCATTCAAAGCATTGATTCTCAAAACCTACTGATCATCACTATATACTGGGAAACAAGATTGGAGTTTATAGACAATATAGACTCCCAGGCTTTATCTCCACAGGGAACTCAGAATGGGTGGGTGATTGTGTTGGAATCAGCTCAGTGCTGGTCTGGATTTTGGAAATCTTTAGGTGATAACTTTTTAGAAGCTTACTAGTTAAGCAGATGGGTAATCTGGCTTAAATTCTGCATTTCTAGGCCCATTCTTAAGAGAGTTGTAGTGGAGTAGAGATGGTGGGGCAGGGGAAGCTGGTGTCAGCTGTTTTGTTGGGGCACATGGTACTATAGGGTGAATGGAAATCCCTTTCTAACCCAACTACATTTCATCTACCAGCCACTCTTTTCTTCCTGTTTAGTCAGAAAAAAGTACTTTTCATGGATACTTCTTTCACTACATTATTCTAAGAAATGTCCTTCTCTCTCTCTCATGAGTCTCTGGGAATACAGACTAAGGAGGCGTTTTGACTCCTGCCTTGTGGACTTTGTGTGGGTAGAGAAGAAACAACCCTGGCTCCACTGCTCTAGGCCTTGGAATCCTAGGCAATAAAACCCTGTGAGTGATGGTAATTTCTACCTTGTAGCATGGTCAGGTTGAATTGAGATAGTATAAAAACGCAGGTAAGATGTGAATCACCATGTACATTTACCACTGAGCTACATCTCCAATTCTTTTTATTTTTATTTTGAGACAAGGTCTCACCAAGTTGCCTAGGCTTACCTCGAATGTGGGATCATCCTCCTTAGTACCCTGAATCACTAGGATTACAGGCAGGCATCACTAAACCTGACTCACATTTTTTTTTTTTTTACTATGAACAACCCTAAGAAAAACATTCTATATGTCAATCCAATGCACATATGTGTAACTTAAATAAGTTCAGCGAGTCAATAATTAACACTGTACTAACATTTTCTACTGCATCTTACAACCCAAACAAAAAAAGTGCTGGTAGCTGCTGTGTAATTTTACAATTCACTAACAGGTCACAACATACAATTTGAAAAACATTTCATTACAATATATTCCATATAGAATATCTGAGAAAGATCGTGCAAAGGATTGGGCTTAAAATTCCTGTGTAGGGCTGTAAGGTAGGAAGAGAATGCCATGTCCAAAATCAGTTGATCTCTTGGTTTGAGTTTATTTTTTTCCAGGAACGAGGATATGTGGGTATTGGTTCCCACTGTGGAATATGATTTTATAAATGGACCAGTACTATACATTTGCAATGTACCCCTGAGCAAGAATAGAAAGGAGTTGCTAAATTAATGGAAGCAGATGGTCTTTATTAAAGTAACCAGAAACTCCATAGAACTCAAAGGGTTTGTGTACCTGTGCTCTGTATGCTGGTAGGGAGGTCTACATCAATTGCTAAACTATAGTCTTAGAGTTGTGTTTCTTTGAATGGCAAATGGAGTTATTCACTCTGTATTAAAATTGGATCCACTAATTTGGTCCAGACTCATGTTTCAGAAAGCTTCTGCAATTTTGTATGTTCTGGTGCTCAGTTTCCATTTTTAACTGATTATATTTGGGGAGAAGGATTAATAAATCAAATGAGGGAAAAATAAGTTGTTGCCAAATCCCCAAACAATTGGTATTGTTGAGCTCCAGGGTTAATCTCAGATTGAGTCTTAGAGGCAGCAATTCTAGATGCCTATTTTTCATAGGTTTTGCTACTTTGCTATTGGAAAACATTATTATTCACATTATAAAGCACAGTTGATCTGGTAGGTGATTGCTGCTAATGGAGTAGAACAAAACAATACTTGTGAATTTAATATTGTTTTCTGTGAGATGGACAGAATGGATTATTGGTGGTCAAAGCCAAGAGAAAGCAAGACAATTTAGATCATTTGGTTAAAAGGAGTGTTTAGGTTTTGTTTTTTGTTTTTTTATAGAGGGAACAAACTATTTCAGCAGGTAAAGAGGGTTAGAGTCTGTAGGTGGCTTTGTTTATTTAACTCACTACAAAAGCCATAATTTAAAAAGATTATAAGGAAAGCTAACTGAAACTTTTATTAACTCATTTTGTGGGTTATTTATATACCATTGCAAGTTAAGACTATTTAAAAATTTAAACCTATTTAATATAGTACAAGTACTATAAATATGATCATCTTTATATATTTAATAGGTATTCATTTACCTGTTTATTTTTGTCTACTCATTATTCTCCAAATTCTTCAGTGCAGGGACCAAATCTTTTCAAAATTTTGCATCCTTTAGAAGCAATGTTTCTCAAAATGTCGGTATCCAAATTGTAACTTGTATAAGAGAAGAAAAGAATAGAAAATAGGGAGTAAACATTTAATAACTTTAGTAGAAGTTTGACATTGCTGTGACATCCTTACCAAAGTATTAGTACACAGGGGATGCATTATATAAAACAAACAAACAAACAAACAAAAAGTTGGTCAGTCCTGAACCCCAGAAAGTTTTAGAAGCACAGTTACAATGCCTAATTCAGCACTTGGGCTCAGTTAATGTTCAATTAATATTTGTTAAATCATTTCAGGAACTAGACTTGCTGAAGGAACGGAAATAATGTTTTAATTCAAGTAGTTTTTGAGTGTCAACTCTGAAATAGCACTATATCAGTGTATCTAGAAAATGAAATTATAGTTATTTCTTCTCATGAATGAGTAAGCCATTAAATCTCAGAACTGGAAAGGATTACATAGCAGTGTGAAGCAAGAAATGGTTTGTTACCTGAGAATGAAGAGTAAACACTGTCAAGGTTGAAGTAAGAACATGGCAGGTGTGTGAACTTGGCTGGGAAGGTTCTCAGAGCTGGTGAGACCTAACTTGGGCAGTGAAGAATGAGTAACAACTTTAGATGAAAAACGCATTCCAGGATGGGGTGAGGCAAGGTGAGAATATCTGAGAATAGGAACACAGACTCCTTCCTACCCTAGAGTCGGAGAATGGTCTTACTCCAGATTTCCCTAGGCAGTATATGAAGTACTGGAGATTTTTCAGTATGAAAGAGCCAAAGCTTTTCACAAGATCAAGAAAGTCTGAGGCCAATGGGAGCAAGCATGGTTTGAGACTACTTGATGCAGAGAAAATGCTAAGAGGTGTGAGATCGAATCTCCTTTGAGTTAACCTCCATCCACTCATCAAGGTTCCTGAAGTCCTTGTGCTATGAACATCTATGTCCTTGGTAAGATCTTATTATCTTAGGTAATATCTGTTAGCATGGAGGCAAAAGAAAAGTCATAGCTGGTTCTGAGCTTTTACGCTTACATGCTGTGACAACACTAGTAGTGACACTGTGACAACACAGGCATCATTATCCAATGACATGTTAGGGCTCAGTTGGTTTGGGAGAGATTTTTGAGGATTGTTGAATTTTGTAGTTTATATGTTAATCTTGATATAATTCTAGATCATTGCTGCTACTGCCATAGTGGACAGTTGGATCTGACGTGTTTTTCTCCCCACTTTCTTTAGGTGTGACGAAGACATAGTCTCTTTACATGAAGATCAGACTGACTGTTCCAGTCTCAGGTATGGACCATGATTGCTTGATTCCTATTTGTGAGAATCAGAAACCATCTAGGTCTGGTGTCTCTGCATTCTGGTATCTTCTTTATACTCAAATTATTTGTTTTCATCTCTTATACTTGATTTTCAGGGTTTTTGTTTGCTTGCTTTTTATTTGTTTTGGTACTGGGGATTGAATCCACAAGTGCTTAACTACTGAGGCCATATCCCCAACCATTTTTAAAATTTTTTGTTCTGAGACAATGTCTCACTAAGTTGCTTAGGGCCTCCCTAAGTTACTGAGGCTTGCTTTGAACTTGTAATCCTCCTGCCTCAACCTTCCAAGCCATTGGGATTACAAGCATGCACCATTATGCCCGGCTAGATTTTTAGCTCTTAAGGGAAGTTTTGTCTTGTCTATTTTTGTATACCCACCTTGTACTTAGGACAATTATATCTATTTGGGAAATACTCAATAAATGCCTATTGAACATTGATTAGCCTATCTCACAGAACCCATGGTGCACTCTTAGTAAGAAGTTCTAGACTATTCACCAAACATGTTATTTGGGGCATGTTCTTGGCCATTAGGAGGATCATGGTACAACAGCAAAATGTTTATGGTCTGCTATTTCTTCAACATTTACTTTGTTTTGAGTACTTTCATGAACATTTTCTTATTTAACATAAACAACTGAAAGAAAACTGATGTTTTCTTCTTCATCCAGTAGATGGTAAAACTGAGGCTCAGAGGGATTGTAGCTCATACAAATAACATGACACTCTGAGGCAGAATTTGGACCCAAATCTGTCAAATTCTACAGTTCAGTTATTGCATAACAACATTTGTTGAGGGACTATTTTGTATGTCAGAAATGAGTCAAGATTTGGGATAAAGTCAAACCAATCCTAATTCCTCTAGCAGAATTTGGTTGCCTAAAGAAGATAGGCAAGAACACAGATGAAGTATTGCAGTGGTAATATATTATAGGTAAGTACAGGATTCACCTAGGACTGTATTAGTCAACTTTTTATTGCTGTGACTAAAAATATCTGACAAGAACAACTTAGGGGAGCAAAAGTTTATTTTCCACTCGCGGTTTCAGAGGACTCAGTCCATGGTGGCGACTATTGCTCTGAGCCTGAGGTCATATAGAACATCATGGTGGAAAGGCCTGGGGGAGGAAAGGTGCTCACCTCATGTCAGCCGGAAAGCAGAGAGAAAACTAGGAGTCACAAAATATATACCCTCCTTAGATTACAACTCTCATAATCTAATCATTTCACCTCCTATATTAACACAGGAGCTATACAAACAAACTATAACAAGAACTAAATAGCCCAGACAGTATTCTGGGATAGATTCCTGAAGAAAATTACACATGGCAAAAAACTGTTTTTTTTTCTTTTTCTTTCTATCTATCTATCTATCTATCTATCTATCTATCTATTTGTGTGTGTGATTCTAAGGCCACAAAAAATTTGATGCCACCAAGCAGAGGGAGCAGCTTAATGGAAAGCCAACAGTAGGCAGAGAGAATATTGGAGTTGGGGGAATAACAAGCAATTCAGGTAGTAGGAACCCTGAGAAGTGGGGGTAAAAATGCAAGGGGTGATAAGAAATGAAGCTTTAGAGATAAGCAAAAATCAGATTGCATAGGGTTTGCATGCCCTACTAAGGAGTTTGGAATTAAGTTTTTAAGTATTGAGGAAACTAAAAAGAACATGAATGTGTGTGAGTGTGTGCAAATAATCACTTGGCCAAGGCCCTGCCCCAGAGACACAATAGCTTTCATTTATTGGGTTGTGACCTGGAGCCAACTTTCTGTGGTAGGCATTTTACAGAGCTCATACAATGCTGTGAGGTAGAGATGATGTCCATTTTATTGTATGAGGATTGTAGAGCTGAAGTGATGTGGCCCAGACTGCACAACTAAATGGAAAGATCTTTCAAACTCGTATCCTTTTCTGGACACCATGTTCCTTGTCAGTTATGATTTATTCCAATGAGTAGTGACATAAAATACATAACATGTACTTTTCTGTTTTGGGAATCCTAAGGAACCAATAAATAATATGTAAAAGGTATATTTCTGGAGATGACTTTGATAATCAGGTCTTACATGTGTATATAGGTGAAAGATGCTTTGCTCCTTTCCCCCTTTCTTTCCCTTCAAAGTTAACATATGATCACATTTATAAATATTGGGCAACTTGGAAATATGACGTAAAACAAACTTTAGGCATTTTGGGGGAATGAGTCTATCAAAGTCATTTTAGATTTGAAAAAACTCCTTTTTTTCCCTCTTATTCCAGAGTGTTCCGGAATTCTACTTGAATCAGGAACATTAAGTTAATTGTAAACTTTTCTTTCTCCCACAGGAACATAAAGTAGATGAGTATTATTCCATATTTCCTTGTGGGAAAAAAATTCATTTCAAATGAACTAGTATGATTTCCAATTCATGGTTTGATATTAATTTCTAAACTCATTAGTGACTTAGATTTTTTTTTCAGGGCGTTTTTGTATGCCAGGTAATCTGTCTACCACTAAGCTGTATCCTCATCCTGGGGAAAAAATAATTGTGAATTATCTTAAGATCAGTGTCATTGGCATTGATTTTTTTTTCAGTTACTGACAATGAAGAATTATTTCACTTGTTGAGTTCTCTTTTATCAGGGAGCAGGAAGTTTGTCCTGAGACTTAAGCTTAACTGTTCTACATTGTTTAATTTCTACCCTTTGCCCACTGCACAAGGCCTCTACTACTGATTATCTATCCCAATCTTTGCTTTGGTCTTTTCCAGAGACTAATGGAAGTTCATTCTCCCCTGAGATTATCTTAGTGAATTTAATCTTTCTTTTATTTGTGAAAATGTGTCTTTAGCAGAGAGCATAGAAATCGTCCTTTGTTGGTCTTGCCTCTTGGCTTTATGTGTCCTTCAGCAAGGAGGAATATCTTCCCAGATCTCACCAAAACTCTTTTATGGATGGTTCCAATAAGAGAGCATAAAGCAAAAACATCTGGGGAAAGTGGCTGCTCCTAATGAATTGCATGATCTGGCCTAAGTGATTTCCAGAGGGTTAAGGTTGATGAAATTCTGTTTGCTTCATTCCATAGTGTTTGCTTCATTCTTAGCAAAATGAAAAATAAAATGTATTTAGGTTTAAGTAAGACCAATGGCTTCAAATAGGAGTGTTACCATGTCAGTATTTCTGAGAAGATTAGAACTGAAGGGGTGGGGGAACATTGTATTGAATTTGTGGAGTGAAAAATGCAAGCACCATTCCTTGCACCTGAAGTGTATGGTGGTAATGCCAGCCTCTTCTATGTTCTTTAGTGACTTGGGACTAACAGAACCCAAACACCAAGATCTTTGACTTTCCACTTGGGGCTTTGCTCAGATGGCCTGGTTAAGTAAAATCAGGCTCTTGCCTTATATTTGATCCAGGTGACTTGTATTCTATCAAAGTAGGTCCCATTAAACTCTTAAATGCCTCTGAAAATTGTAAGGAGATGATTATAAGCTTGGGAGGCATCCCATCTTGAACCCAGAATACAGGCTTGAGAAACTGAGATCTTCCTGACCACCATGGGTCTGGATAAATTGGCCCTTTCATTAGGCATGTTGTTTGGTTGCTGCATTTTAATCTATAAATTTGGGATTACAATGTCTACCCTGAAAATTTCATATTATTATTGTGAGGAAAATGTGATATATGTGAAAGCATCTTAAAGTGTAAAATTTAAAACCAATGATGGTATGCACATAGTGACAACTATAAAAAGTATGTATCCCCTTGAAGAATGGAAGGGAGAGTAGAGAAATTAAAAAGCGTGAAATTCGCCATTTCTTAAGTTGTTCCTATAAAATTAATTCTTAAGTAGTTCCTGAGCCTGCACTAAAAATTTTGTTAGGAATCCTACTGGTATAGCAGCAATGAATGTATATCATCAGCGTCTCTTTTGTCCACAGCTTTATTCAATTTTTGGTGCTTTTTAATTGGGACTCTCCTCTTGTAGGGATGAAGACAATAAAGAGAATTACCCAGACGCCCGGGCTTCTGTAGAGGAGCACACGCCGCCCCACGGAGAGGCACCGCAGCATGTAGAGCAGACGGTGCAGGTGGACTGCGTACTGCGACCCGCCATGGGCAACTTCAAGTCCAGGAAGCCCAAGTCCATCTTCAGAACTGAGAGTGGGAGGACCCACGGAGAAAGTCAGGTATGGCTAACATTTTGCTGGGTACCTTGGCAGAGATGAGGGTAGTTTGAGGGCACTGCCAGCCCGAGACACTTGGATGCTCTTGTGAGTAGAAATTGTGCATTCTGGACAGGCTAATAATGCTTTAGTGCCCTTTCAAACCGGCGTTCTTAAATATTGGATTTTCATGGAAAGGAGCGGTCTCTCTTTTGCCGGGAAGGGGAAGACCTCTTTTTCCTTTCTTCATTCAAGACAGTGTAGCTCTTGCTCCAAACTTGGGGATTCTAGTCAGCAAAATCAAAAGTGCCAGCTTGATCTGGAGCCATGTATTCTTAGACTACAGTTTAGTGGCCTTGAATAAACATTCAGGTGTGTATGTGTGTGTGTTTCTGTGTGCTGGTGGTATTGGGTTCTTTGGAGCCAATCAGTATTTAAATGAACGAATGCAGCATCTTTCCAACCAGATTCTGGTTATCAGTTGGTATTTTATAATTGTTTTTCTAGTTGTCTAGAATATAGCAAAGAACGTGATTTTAAAAATCTAAAAGTTCCTCATAATTTATGATGCTTTTAAAAGAGATTAAATATAATCTGCTTTTATCTTACTACGAAGTTAATATTGCCAACATATAGATTATACTTATAATGCACTTAACATAGTTTTGAGGACATGGATGCTCCATAAATGTAAGCTTTACTCTTTTGTTAAGATGTTAACTTTAAAAATAATGCAGGAGACTCTTAAGTGGAATATGCTAATTACGCAGGAACTTTAAGTCCAATCCTATTTAGCAACGGGTGCCAGGTGATCTTCCTGTTAGAACAACTTTTGCTGGGCAGCTTATTGGACCTTGCAGTTTTGTTATGTACCTTGTGAATTTTGTTTCTCTTCTTCCTTGGCATTGTGACCTCTTATTTTTGCAGTGAAGTGTGAATGCCTCTGCATTCATGAAGCTGTATTGTGATTATCTTATTCTGTGTATGACTCCCATTGCAGAGGAGAGCATGGACTACCACTGGGTTGTTATAAGCTTGATGCCCTGAGTGCTACTGAATGTACCCCACCATCTGTCTCTTTAGAGTTTCGCTGGGAAGGCACAGGTTCCAAAGGGTGCTTAAGTCTGAGTGATTTCAGGAATCACCTGTGACATTGTGGGCTTCAGAGTGACTAGCCATCTCAGAATACCCTCCTTTTGTCATTTTGTAGTCTGGCCTTACAGAAATTACACAGATGTCAGTTTGTAATAAGGTGGTAATGGTGTATGTAATTCCCAGCCTGTTGCTTATACATAGGAAAGTTAGAGGAGAGAGACATATTGGCATAGTCTTTGCACATAAAACTGTATAGGAATTCTGATGGGATTTGAGTGGCCAGTTCTGATTCACTGAGCTTTATTTTCAAATATAATTTGTGTAGTCAAAATATTGGTTGTATTATAAATTCTCCCAATTATATCCTGGTTAAAAGGAAGATTATTGTTGAATGCATACAAACAACCTCTTTTGAAAAAGTAGGGACACTTGGTATGAATTTTTGAACTCTGAGGTTCAGTGAGACTCCAATATCATTTTTAAATGTTTCATTTTATTTGACATAAGCAGTGTGGGCTATCGATAGTTGAAATAGAAGACTCCTTATTTTCAGAAAATAGAACATTAAAAATACATTGAACAAAGAACATTATAATAATACTACTTAGAGTAGTCTTAACATAACTGATTCTTTTTTTACCTTGACCTGGGTTTGGTGGTATCATGAAGTGGTCTGCTTCTTCACAAAGTCTTGCAAATCCTGACAGTCTGCTGGTGTCACAAGATATCTATATCCAAGGTTCAGTTCTTTGAGCTGTCAATTGTTTAAAGGATGTGGTGCTTTTCCATGGAGTGCTTGAGATTCTTTGTCAGAGACACAAACCTGGCCTAAAACTGAGTAAAGCCTTAAGCATTGGAGGAAAACAAAACTATAGATGATTGAAACTGAAATGGCTATGATTAATTTACTACTGATAATTTTAAAATGTGAAATGCCTAATGAGCCTCATAATAGAATAATGCATAATGTGAAGTTCAAAACAATAAAATCATCCCCCTCACAATTAGACAGAATACCTTGAAGGATAATGACTAAGCCAGTGACTAAGCCTATTTTCAAATAAGCCAGGGAATATTATTTCTGGTATTATAAAAATGGATGAATATAGGTTTTCAGAGGAAAAAAAACCTTAATGTAAAACATAATTATCCTAAGACTATACCAAGAATATCAAGTAAAAAGATGCATTAAGTTGGGTGTAGGTCCTAGACATCTGTGTTTTTATTAGCTCCATAGGTAATCTGTCTTCCTTTTAACCAGGATTTAATTGGAAAAATCTATTACGCAACCAACATCTTGTGTACAGTGTTGTTTTGAGAATGAAACACAAATGAAGCTTGCTGCTATATTTGAGAAAGAACTGAATTATAACAGGCCACTTAAATTTCACTGGGCATCTTACTTCTGCTGTGTACCCTAGGTTGAAAACCTGTAGCTTTGATGATGCTAGAATCAAGTGAAGGCTGTGGACAGGTCAACATCTTAAATAGTAAATGTTTATCACTGATAACACTATAGAATTGCCTGATATCAGGTAAAGTTTCACCAAATATAGGACAAATATAGGGAAATTTGATAGAACTGTCTGGTAAGAGTTTTGATTACAGGGCAAATGTTATATTCATTAGCCTTACCATGCAAGGTTGTAGAGAGAATCATTTTCTGTAAAGCTGGATGGATGCACTTGGGGGAAACTAAGTTGAAATTGTAGCTGTGAGTCCTGTCTGATGCTCGTTGCCACTATTAAGACGTTGAGTTCTCATATTGTTATGGGATCATCATTCCCTAAGAGCAACTGTAAAGAACCGAAGGGTATAACCCTCTTTGAGACTGAAGAACACTATTGTGTATGGGCTGGGGTTGTGGCTCAGTGGTAGAGTGCTTGCCTCGCATGTATGAGGCACTGGGTTCGATCACCGGCACCACATGAAAAAACTAGATAAACAGAAATAAAGGTATTGTGTCCATCTACAATTTAAAATATTTTAAAAAAAGAACACTATTGTGTGTGTTGAGCTATTGAGATTTCTGGGTTTTTCTTTTCACAGAATTTGTATGTAGGATCTGAGAGTAGTTTTTCATTCTGATCCCAATCAGAATGTAGGGAAGGCGGAAGAAGCCAGATGGAAGCCATTGAAAGTTTGGCTTGATGCCCACCTTTCTTACCTTTAAAGTTCAAAATGAGCAGTTCCACTTCTAGTTGGTCAAGTTAGGATTTTAATTTGAGCAATATTTCTTTAATCTTGGCCTTGACCCACCTCTATGAGAAGGAACCAGAGTAGAGTAGCAGAATCTAAGATTTTGTGTGCATTTGTGAATGACTAAAATTCCAGTTTTGCATCCACTTTGAATGTCTTAAAATGAGAAAGCTTAGTATATTTACAATAAAAAAGAAGACCAGGATCCATGAAGACAATGTAAGAATGTCCTCCAAGAAGTTAAAATGTTTGGGATTAGGAGAATGTTTATTTGAACCAGAATCAGTTTTCCTTTCTGCTTGTTTATCGGTTTCTCTCATAGACAATGAGCTTTGGAAAAGAATGGCTTGGGTTAGGATCATTTAAGGACCTGTCTCCAGAAAGGCTGGGTTTTCATTGATATATTGAAGTTAAAACAAGATGTATGAGTCTGTGCTAAGCATAAATTCTTGAGTGAAATGTCTAGTCAAATTGCAAACACTCTTTCCAAGGAGAAGAACTGATTGAAGGCATGGATTGTATGTTTTAGTATTTTGTGGAAAAATTAAAAGTGGTCCTGTACTGATTGCTATGCAAGTTGTAATATTAATTCCTGACAGGCTGATTTGAAACAGATTAGATTTGATGAACAGAAACTACTTCCTGTATTGGACCTTAACACTGTCCAGAGGGTATTCATTTTTAGCATTAGTAGATGGAGTCTTGTCATCCTCACTCCCTGCCATCTGGCATCATACTATGCATCATCCTTCTGTCCTCTCCTCTGGTGGCTATTTTAGCAAAATACAAAAAGTACAAAGCTATATAGAGAGCTTTTCTGCAGTGAGCTGTGTACTGTGATCCTTCTGCTAATCCACTTCCTTGGGGAGACCAGCTGTTTGGGCTGTTGTATATCAGCATCAGGTTTCTTCTACTTGGCTGTAGTAGGTGCTGTAAGAAGCTGGAATGAAATCCAGGTCTGATTGTAAAATTTTCATGTTAATGTTTCTGCAGAAATAAAAAATTAAAAATAATAATTTCAAGCAAAGTAACTCAACTATGAAATATTTATTTATGGGGAATATTATTATTGCAATAGGCTCTGAATTAAAAGAAAGATAATAGTTAATTCTGGGTCATTCCTCCCACCTCTCCAAAATTCTGTTTCCAATTATGGATCTTCTTTATGCATTGTTTGCTTTTTTGCAGGGTGTTGAGAGCATGAATTCATTGATTCTAATAATGGGGAGGTAATTGTTTTAACTATCAATTTATGACCCATTATTTCTCATGCATGATTTTTACAGCTCCAGTGTGGATGTTTTACTTTAATTTCTGTTTATGTATGGATGTTCTGAAAGATTTTACTGGTGAGGAAGAAAAGTGGTCCTCTAGTATGTTTTCTTTTTTTCCCAGATCACATGTAGTACTGTTTTTATTCATGTGTTGCCTCCATGAGGAGGCACCACATGAATAAATCTATAGCTTGAATAGAATAAATCTATTCATTCACCGAATGAATGAATCTATAGCTTTGTTCCCAAAGCTATAGATACCATTCTGGAAGTTCAAAATCAACAGCCCCAGGAAAGCACCAACAGCTCCTTCTCACAGGCCATATTTCTAAGTTTTATTTATTTTTTATTTTTGATTCTTTTTTATTATTGTTCAAAACATTACAAAGCTCTTGACATATCATATTTCATACATTTGATTCAAGCAGATATGAACTCCCATTTTTACCCCGTATA